TCAGAAATTTTAATGATTGAAGTCACTCACAAATCTACTCTGCGTCAATAAGAGAATATTTCGCTTTTGGCTTCATAATCTTGCCAACAACAGTTTTTTGGATCTCTAACTCCCGTCTTTTATAAATCTCCTTCATATCTAGTCTAACAATAAACACTATCCTTAGTTTTTATCTTTACATTAGTATTGAAGTTAGTATAAAAAAAATTTTCTTTATGTGCATGACGTCAATGTTGTGCCTAATCATGTTATCTTTATAGTAAGGTATATCCCAAAAAATGGACTTCTTTGTCCAATTATGAGTGATACCAAAGTCCACTGGACATTGTGAAAAAAGCTCGGAGCTAAAAATAATTATTTAAATGTTAATAACAATGTTTGCACTATATCCTACTTGCAGCGAAACACCCCCTTAGTGACATTCATTATTTTGACCAAAAGGTCAATGCAATTGGTGCTCAAATGACTCTAAATTTAATTTTAAATATTTTGAATTCAAATATTATTTCAAGAACTATGTTTTTATCCTATGAAATTTTCTTAACATTTTTAGTTATAGTTTTAATTTTTTCTAACTAGTAGAATGATTTAGTTTAAATTAGGATGTTTTATAGTCAAATTTCAGATATAGTGATAGTTCTACACCAACAATGATGTGCGAATATGATGGTGAGCGAACAGTTAGTGGAAGGGTTTTAACCATTAATTTAATCTTTTACAATTTTAAAACTTATTAATAACTCAATTTAAAACATAATTATGTGTATATTAAAATATTAACATTAAATTTATTTTCCCAATAGTTTCTTATAGGTGCTACCACAATATATTCATACATACTGCGCGCGCGCGTGTGTGTGCGTGTGTGTGCGGGGGGCAAGCCGTGACCTGTTGGTTGGCGGGGTTCACTGTAAGTTCCCTCGGGTCACAGGTTCGATCTCTAGTAGTGCTAGGCTTTCGAATATTTAGGCACATGAAGATGACTCTCATCATGGGGTCTAGCACATGAGAAATCGGAATGCGGGCCTTTGCCAAATACCGATTTCTAAAAGTAGTACACGATATAGCATGGACATATATATATATATATATATATATATATATAATATTTTTTATTACTAATATTTTATTTGAATATGATGCAATTAAACAAGCATGAAATAGGAAAAACATTTCGTCTGGACACCGCACATCCGGATGGTCAAACACCAGGCGCCACCTCGCCATACACCTCATCGACTAACAAAGTGACGGTCGATGGTTGGCCGTCCGGACATGCAGACTTCCAGACGAAATAGTTTTTAACGAAATAGACACTGCTTTAGAACTTTTTATAATAATGGAAAATTATTGGGCCACTCATTAGCCTAAAATTCAATATGATTAGAGATTGAATAAAAAGGCTTCTAAGTCAATCTTGCTCTAATTAGAATGAATTTAAAGGAGCATAATTGAGGCGTGCAAGGTTTGCCATGTCGAAAGTTGTTCACAAAACTGGTGGCGAGCATAGCTGTGGAGTGTAGCGTAGGGTTTTCAGGTACGAGATTGTTGTGGGGGAGTTGAGCAGAAATCTCGTGCACCAGTGTTCACATTATTATTATTATTATTATTATTTTCTGAATATCATAATGTGCTAATTTTAATTAATCTTAAATTTATTTATTTTTTAAGCATAATGTATGAATTATACGTTGATGTTTATATTAAATTAATTTTAAATTAGTATTAATTAATTAAATATTTAATCTGTATATTGTGATCCTTTTTTTTTTTTTTTTGTGCTGTTTTGATTAACCCATTTATTTTGAATCTGTTGTATAATTCGTGCAAGTCAAATGTAGCTAACCGACCTGAGCGAATTAAATTTCTATAATTCAGATTCTTACATAAATTCCCTTTCAAATACAGTAAAAATCAACTTTTTCTATTGAATATGTATATATTCAAAAAAAAAAAAGAATGACTAGAGGCTATGATACGAGTCTCTGTCATCCATCATGCGCCTATAATTCGAGTGCCACATCGTATACTCGGGGGGAATTGAACCCCAGACAGAAAGGACTTACAACTGACAAGTAGATGCCCGATCAACTGATTTGAGTACGCGGTGCGATTATAGACACACACACAAACACACACACACACGTACTTATGTTATAATCCCGTACCCCGATCTGTTAGTTTGCATCTGCAACATAAGACTCTTCAGGTCGGAGGTTCGAATCTCCTCTGGCACAGTTGACCTTAAAGAGGTGGTACTAGAATTATTAGACACATTAGGGGTAGCTATAAGCTCATATAATAGACTCTCGCCATTCTTAAAAAAAAAAAGTTATGAATCTTTTGTATTCAAAATGAATTATATAAATTAAGGTTAAAGATTTATTATTTTATGATGTAGATATGCATAGTTTTATGTGAAGGCCATTAAATGACATGCTCATTAAAGAGGAGGAAAATTAAGTCATAATAAATTTATTTATTTTATTAACTTATTTTAAAGTGAGTATGATATATTAATTATCAATAAATTCTTCAGCTTTATGAGAAAAATAAAATAAAATTAATAACTTAAAAATGATGATAGGCACGTGCGGTCGCTTTCATCCTAATCATGCATCTTATTTTAGACGGTTAGATTTGAATCCATCAAAATTATAATTAATTGAGAGGAAGAAATTTTGTTGGATTCTATACCATCCATTGTGGAATAATGTCTCGTGATATTTAGAAGGAATCTGATTTTTTCACACGTGCGGAATCCATGAATAAAATTTTATTTTATTATGAGATTATTTATATAAGGCCATTTTAGTGGTATGATATATAAATGCATCAAATTAGTCTTAGACTTTTTAAATTAGGGATGAAATAATTATTTCAACTTATCTTAGAAAAATATGTAATATTTCGAGTTATATTAAAAGAGTATAGACTAAATTGACCCTCTTGCAAAGAGTAGGGGATCATTTTGATACTTCTCATTATTATTATTATTATGGTTTTAAAAATTGGACTAGACCGACTAATCAGTCCCAGCTTAGAACCGTTTCTGCATAAAACTAGGAGTGAACCGATTAGAATTGGGGTTGAACCGACGAATCAATGAATTGGTTCAATTTTTAAAGAACCGATCAGTTCATTTATTGTATAACTCTAGTCTTTTGATTTTGATGGGATGAGAAAAAAATAAAATATTTAAATTAAAAATATAGAAAATATCATCTCTTAAATTTTTTTTATTTAAAATATTTTTCAAAATATTCAAAAGGATCGTCTTAAATTAAAATACACTTTGTTAAATAGGTAAAAATTACTTCTTCCATAATAATAATAATTATTATAATTATTATAATTAGTAGGTTCATCAGTTTCCAGGAATTCATTAACACGGAATTTTAGCCATTCATCGTACCAATGGTTTTCATTAATTAAGAATTAAATGCAAATCCACGTTCTTTAATGACTTTCTTTTCCAAATGAATTGAATTTAATTGAATTTCCGGCCCTTTGGCGATCCAAGATCAAATTTAGGTTTTCCACATTAATATTTACGTTATGCAACTAAAATGAATTATGGCTACAATAATTAATGGGCCGCATCATTTTAATTCAAATTTAATGACAATGAGCTCATTATAATTAAATAATTATATTGTATTATTTTCAAAATTAATCCAAATAATTATAAAATAATATGCTTTATGACATTTGAATTGGAATCCTTTAATCCATTCTCTCTCTCTCTCTCTCTCTCTCTCTCTCTCTCTCTCTCTCTCTCTCTCTCTCTCTCTCTCTCTCTCTCTCTCTCTCTCTCTCTCTCTCTCTCTCTCTCTCTCTCTCTCTCTAAATTTTTAAATGGCTACCAAACCATAAAAACGTCGGCATTGACATTTAAGAACATATATCATTTAAGGTTAAGCTAATTGTTGACATAATGTAGATTGGTGTGTTTGACTATTCTCCCCAAAAGTCAACGTCAAATTACACCCAATGAATAGATATAATAGTAGCTCTTGTACCTCAGTTTCAACCACACATATATATTTATTACACCATTTATATATAGGGGATTAAAATTGTTGTAAAATAACATTTATATACTTGTTTCTCCAACTTATCTGTCGGTTTAAAGTCAGTCGACTCCTGGCCGGTCATGTATCAAAAGATTGTTCTTCTTTCGGGCGCTAACGTAATGCTTTACAACATCAATTTTTCGGTACGTGTCTTGTTTTGGTCTGTATGACCTCTGGAAGGTTTGATCAATAGTATTTTTATTGCACAACCTTATTTTAAGCCTAAAATCGTGAAAAACAATAGAAATTTTTTTTAAAGACAAATAATTGATTAAAAAAATTATGCTGTAAAATATCACTAGTGTTTTATTAAGTCATACACTAAATTTGGATCATATTTGTTCAAATATAATTAAATTTGTGAACAATGTGATACCAAATTGATTGGGCTCTAGCTCAAGATCAACTTGAAATTTGATTTAAGCTAAAGTTGAGGCAAAAATATATATATATATATAAAGAATTATCGAAGGCTATGATATGTGGCTAACCACTCGATCCCGCATTGCAAGACATCATATATTTATAAATTTTCAATGTGGGACATTCTCATTACATTTATAAATATTCCAAGTTGCACGATCATTTAGTCGCTATTTATTTTGCTTAGAGGAGCATAATGTATTCAATATATTTTGAATATGTTCGGTTGAATATATCACAAATACCAGAGATTAAATGTTTGGTTAGATGTCAGACAATGCCCAACATAGGTTTGCTGGCGAGCAATGGCCTAAAAGAGCAGTGGTCAACGGTGGTGGGTCGAAGTTTGGCAACAGGACAACAGATGAAGAAGGCGGCCGCCGGGGGCGGCCGGGGAGGGGCATTGCAATCCTACTCTACATTTACATTTTTTTTTTCTTCCAAAGTCCTACATTTAATTTACTTTACCTTACAAAAATCAACTAATTCAAAGCTTAATGCATCAGTTGCTGTTGCACATGCAATAAAAAGCTAAAATTGGTCATCAAAATAAAAAAAAAAAAGATTAAAGTTCAGATATATAATGTTTACACAGATGTTGACAGTCATTGCAGAAGTAAATGTTGGCTGTAGTAAATGCCTGACAAAAAAAAATCGATGGCAATCATTTATAGGACTATGCGATGAGGAACTTCAGGGAGTGCTGAATATTGTGTTGATTACGTCTTTCAAAGTCCTGCATCCGACTATTTTTATGTTCAGATCGAGTGAAGAGAGATTGATCTCTGCTGCTTTTGGAACGATACACCTCTTGAATCCCAATTTTGCAGCAGCAGTTACTCGCTTATCCATCCTTGGAACCTTACCCAAAAAACATTTAAGAAAAAAAAGAAGAGATAAGTGATGAGCGAAAGTAACTAATCAATGGCAACTAGGGGTGTAAACGAGTCAAGTTGAGATCGAGCCACCCTTGACATGAGCTTAAGCTCGATTAAATAGACAAGGTCGAGCCCAAGCTTAATTGCATGACAAAAAAAATAATATTAATTCAAGCTAATATTATAACAAAATGACAAACATAAAAAGCAATTAGGAAGATAAAAATAAGAAATTATTTGATATAAAATATACAATATCATTTTTTATACATTTTTAACAAAGAGAGTCTTGAATGCTAATATATTTTGAGTATTATTTTTATTAATTAGTTTTTAAATAAACTGTCTAATGAGATAACAAGTCGAGTCAGGGTTGGCTTGATAGTTCAATTAGTTTAGCTCAAGAGTCACTTATCAAGTCGAGCTGGAGTCAACTCACGGGTTAGCTTGACTCAGTTACATCCCGACAACTGATCTAAATAAGCAGATAAAAACTTGCTTACCATGCGAAGCTCGCCTCCAAGACCAACCTCCCCAATGAACGAAACATCATGAGGGATGGGAAATTCCAAGAAGCTGAAAAACAAGAAAAAAAATTACAAAATCTGTTATATTTGCGCAAGATTAGGGTGGTAAAGTAGTTTAACATAATATTCATTAGGGTTTAAATCAAGTAGGCGAAAAGAAGATTTTGGTTTAATGAAAATAGAAGTTTTTAGGGTTTCTATCATTCAAATGAATTGTCTCAGTTAATTATGGTAAGGTAAAACAAAAACCGGATGAATCTATGAAGTGTACCAACACAATCGAGACTTCGGAAAATATAAGGATATTATGGAAGAACAAAAAATTAATCCTATTGCAAATATGTAAAAATTTAGTATTAGAGTTCAGAGTCCATGAACTACATTGAGAAACAAAATGGCATGATAACACAGAAATAACTTTACAAGAACCTAAGAAATAATATCCGCTTAGTCCCATGACAAAATATACAGGGCATTCACATACATACTACACTATTCTTATATACATACATACATACTACACTATTCTTATACATTTATTAATAGAGAGAGAGAGAGTAGGAGGAGAAGCAGACGAATAAAGAAGTTGTGCAGGTAGTGTACTCTGTGAACGTAGAGTATGAGGGGGTCACGTGTGCGACCACAGTCGAGGTGAGCACAAAAAATGAGTGTGGATGCTTGCGGGAGGAGGGGCGACACAACACGAAAGGCAAGAAGAAGATAAGACGGAGCTATTGTGCCGAGGAAGAAGGAAAGTAGAGGCATCGTGTGTGTGAAATAGTGGAATTGGCATCGAGGCAATGTCGCATACGTGCGTGAGCGAAGAAGATTAGGATCTGTTGTAAGGGAAGAGAGCATCGTGCATACTAAGGGGAAGGCCGAGCAAAACCAAGACTTTAAGAAGGTAAGGGTTTTCTTTTATGGGTTTTATGTTTTTAATTAAATAAATTGTTTTAATAAAAAAATGTCATTAAGCTAATATTAAAATTTATAAATTAAAAATAGAGATTAAATTTGTCAAGCAAGCAAATGAAAAGATTGAGAGAGATCGAGATCAGTTTTTGTGTAATAGAGAAATGGTTAAATGAGGTAATGTAAAGGTTTAATTCTTATTTTGGTATTTATCACATTTATGTGAATCGTAATGATCACCGTTTTATGAATAAATGACAGAAATCAGAGGTAGAATAATATTTGGTTTAGAAAGAGAGAAGAGTTGATGATAGTTAAGGATGGTTAGGATTTTATTTCCTAAAGTAATTTTTTTTAAAATTTATATTATTTAATATCAGTATTAATTGCAATGATTAAACTTAAAATTGAAGGATTGAAATCCTAATTAAAATGATGAAATTAGAAGTTGAACAATAATTAACGAAAGCCTAACTAAATAATAAGATATAATTTATTAAAATTAATATTTTCAATATTATAGATGTTCCATTGGAGGAATTATAATTTAAGAAGTACAAAAAGGGGAGGTTCCAGGTAATATTTCTTTTGAAGCTATACCTAGTTTCAGTTTTCTCGTTTATGCTCCATATCAATGAAATTAAACTGCAAAGAATGCTTCATATTAATCGACATGATACATGAATGTATACATTTATTCATAAATAGTGGCAAAATAGTTTTATTTTTTATACAATAACATTAATTTAGTACATGATTTTTAGATTATATTAATATTATATTTATTCATCAGTAGATCAATAATAAATGTCTTATAAGAAATTAATGCATGTATGAAAAAAAATGTATATACATGAATACTTGTATGTGCATGCTAAGAGTTCACCCCATTATGATACTAGCAAGAGACGTCAATAAAGTTATAAACGAGCCACCCTAAGAATGTTTGGCTTGTTCGAAATTGGTTTGTGTTCGAAATTGCTCGAGAACAGTGCAATCGAATTTCACTTAATTTATATATTCTTGTTCGTATTCGACTTGTATTCGACTCGAAATTGGCTTGCTTAAATTTATTAGAATGGAAGACGTTGAACCACATAACCACATGAGCTGTTATAATTTAAACTTATATATAAACATATATAATATATTATTATATAAATAAAATATATAATTTCTTTATTTCGATTAAAAACTAGCCGAACACGATCGAACAAAGGGTTGCTCTTGTTTGGCTCATTATAATTTGAGATTAAAAATTTTTTCATGTTCGACTCGTTTACTAAACGAATGATTCGAACACGGGCTACTTAACGAGCAGAATATGAGTTGCTCATGAAAAATGAGTTCTTTTGCCACATCGAACATTATAAAATTTAGATCACTAATTATTGTGTTGATGGGAGAGTATTAATCAGAGGTGAGTAGGCAGCTTACCACTTAAAATAATTGTGAAATTTATACTACTAACCGCTGTGCCGAAGGGAGAGTATCAACCAAGGGTGAGTAGGTACATTTTTACCTCAGACAATAGTACACATGTTTTGCGAACAGCTGTGTCGACAGATAAGCAACGACTAAGAGTGTGTTAGGTTGTGTTAAAATAATGCTCCTAAGACGGATGGAAAATTAAGAGTATGAAATATACTAAAGCTAAAGATTAAAGCTTGAAAAATAGAATTAAAGTTAATGCATAAAAAATTGTAGATATTTCTATGAGCAAATGTCATGAATACAATATTTAGATTACTGCATGATTTTCCTATAAAGAGATAGAAAAGACCAACATATATATATATAATCTTCTTTCTGGTTATATATATATATATATATATTGTATCCTTTTCATTGAGTTACTATAATTTAGAAATATAAATACTCCATTGGATTATCTTTGATAACTCATTATGTTGTTTTAACAAATGTTAGGTTTAAGCTATTGAATGGAAGATGAGTGCCACAAGAGATAATGTATATAGAAAGTGAGGTCAACAAGCGAAAAGATAAACTTATTATCTATTAATTAATTAATTTTTTTTAATGCCTTTCAATTTCTATTTGGATTGTAAACTGTTAGTAATAGAAATAAGAATAAAAAATGTTAAATTTCACCACCCAATCATTTGTTCCCGCCTTAGAAATTTCAAGCCCCTGGACTGGGTCGTGACATAAGATAATAATAAATTGGTTCAATAAATCATATTAATTATAATATGCAAGATTTTAGGGAAAAAGATTTTACTCAGCATGCAATTGCATTTGGAGTGGTTGCAGCATTCATGCTATAGTTGTTCCCAATTTTCTTATTAATTTCACTTTGGGATTCCCATTGCTACTTCTTAGTTACATAACGATATAGCCCTTGTCTATTGTGCCTATTTCCCTATTATTTCTTGGGAGTTTCATTCCCGCCTCTATGTTTCAATGCCTTTGTTATGTAACCGGCTTCAAAATTACCACTACCCAGTTGCCCGACTAATCTATTGCATTGATTTCCTATTACAATTGATCTAATGCATTTCCTTCCTAGCCTGCCACTTTATCCCTACACTACAACCGCACACCTCCATCAATGCCATCCCTTTCGTTGCTTCTCTAGTTACAGAAATAGAAATCTTATTTTTCTAGTTCTTTAAAATCATTTAATAATAGGTTTATGGAAGATTTTTCAATTGATGGAATTTAAATTTGGTGAATTGAATCTTGTTTTTACCAATTGTGGGAATATTCTTCTTTGAATTTTATCTAATAGAACCCTTGTGACATCTAAAACGATAATGAACGTTAAATATTGAAATAAAACTTCAAATTTTCTCTCTTCTTGTTTGGTTGTTGCATATGTAATTTTTTTAGTGATTCAAAATGGCAGGCGACAACTTCTGAGGTGGTAAAACTCCTTGTACCAATATGATGCTTGTTATTTAAAGTGATTTCCATTCTCACTATTCTTTTAAATAGTTAGTCGTTAGTTTTATATGTGTAATTAAAATTTTATTAAGAAAAATACTTGTTGAGTTTTCCATTATTTAAGGAAAAACTTAATCATTGCAGAAATTTTACGTCTGTAATTAAAGTTCATGTAGAATTCCAATTTTTGGTGCATGGTAAATTGTCTTTTGAAGTGAACAATGCATGCTTGTTGTTCTTACATGAAAAATGATAAGGTTTTGCTAAACCCATGGGCAGAAAACATATGTGTTAAGATTTTTTTTTAATTTATTGTTTCAAACTTGCATGCCATTTTAAGTTGCATAAGAAACCTTATACCATCAACAGCCCAACATCAATATATAATTAATTAAAATTTGATTGTGAATCAAATCAAAACTGATTCTAAATCTAACTTAGAATTGACTCATTTCAAGTCGAGCCTGCTCAACTCAGAATCATTTTGATTTGGAGTTAAGTTCAACTTGATCTGGACTCAAAATGATTTCGATTTCAAGTTAAGTTCAAGGTGATTTGGTATTGAATTTTTTTCAAGTCGGGCCATACGCACTCTAACTCAACTCCATATCAACCTTCCAACAGTTTCGCTCGAATGCCTCGTAAAAATTTCAATCACATTTTAAGGATATCATATCAATGTCGACCACCATGACTTGTTGCTCTTCCTCAAACAAGTTCATATACCATCTCAATCAAGATGCCAAGCAGCAACTATCCACTATTTTTTATTCTCATAGAGCGTTATATTGTTGGATATAAGCTCATAGAAGATATGTTGACTATAATCCAAGAATGCTTTTCACGGGATCATTTACCAATCTTATGGATTAAGTATACTTTCTTCCAAGTTGTTCTGAATCAAGTTCATGACAAGTATTCTAAGGTGCGACGGAAAAATTTGTGTGATATTATTCAAGATTATTTGAAATAAAAGTCCCAATTCAAAATTTCTAGATGGAAAATTAAGTATAAACCTGCTACATATGGCTGCTGCTATTGCAAGATCTCCTGCAGTTTCTGTCAGCTTAAAACCACTAACAACATTCAGAAAAATTGCCTGCCAAAACAGAAAAAAATCAGAACATTCCACAATTAGATTGTGATAGAATACACCATACAAAACTGACAGAAAGCTTAGCAGTTGCAAACTTAAACAAAGAAGAAACAATTAGTATATATTCTTTTTTCCTTTAGCATGTACATGCAAATGGATGCTACATGTAGAATCCAGAATGTATGAATGCATGCACATGTGTGGGTAAATTTATGGAGAGAGTGCGCGCGTGCGTGGTGGTGCTTGTGTATATGATGAATGCTATAGCTCCATTTGGAAACGATTTCCTCTTTGAATTACCAAAAGTACTTTTAAAGTGCTTGTTGGCATCATCTTTCGATGTCAGGAGCGTAAGGTGTCCGCTTGAGTTACCTGGGAGTATGCTTCACACACGCACAACCTCCCAAGGCACAAGACATCTGATTTTGATCCTACGACACATGGTCAAGCGTACTTTGCCAATGTCTGATATTCACTAAGGCGAAGGCCGATCAACTTTATGACTGTCGGTCCGGTCGAAGGCTTCGACTGCACCGACTGATTTCGCTTGACACGATACAAGCAAACTGGGTCATAATTAGGCTTGCTCGTAGGCAAAACGTCGTTCAGATGACCCTGGATTGCGAAGCAGATAACACAGATGAGCCGAAAACATCATTTTTTCCTATGAAAGGTTTTCCCAGGTCGAACTTGGCGTAAGCCTCGAACAGCGGGCCAGTCCAGCTAGGCCCGACATGACCACACCTAAATTGGGTTTGGCCACGCCTGTCTTGTAGCATTACCACACCAATTTCGGGCATGACCACGCTAAGTCCTTCCCTATCTGCTTGATCAGGGCTCGTGGTGAGACACCCGAGGCCAGCGTAGCCAAGCTGACCAGACAAAGTAGGTGGCGTAATTACGCCACCCTTCCGTCATGGCCGCACCACTAGCCCGTTCGTGACACTTATAAGACAACGTGACCATGTCATAACCACGGTGTAGCCACACCTTCGTAACACATTTCGCGAGGTGGTCCCTGTTTTTCTCGTGATACGTTGTCTGGCCTCAAGAAATTGGCCACGAACTGATCCTAGGCCATTTTTGGCACCTGTGCTCTCCTGGGATGTTCCCATATGGGTAAGGGTTCATTTCTTCCCCGTTAACCATGGGATAAACCCCTTTTGCTGGAGATAACTGAGGAGCCAGCCATTTGGGGAAGAGGAGGTCATTTAGAGATTTGGGTGGAGAGGAGAGCTTGAGGAAGCTGGTGTGCTAGTTGAGGACAAGTCTTGGAGAAGAGTTTGAGAATTTGGGAAGCTCTCCTTCCATTTATCTTCTTCTTCTTCTACTTATTCTCCATCATTTTCTCCACTTCTCCTGCATCTTCTTTTTTGACCGCCATTTTGTCGGATAAAAAAGAGAGAAGATAAGGTTTCTCTCTCGGAGCCTTACCATAATCTTCTTCTAGAGGAGAGCTTCTTTAAATAACAAAAACTACTTTTAAGGTGCCTGTTGGCATCATCTTTCAATGTCAGGAGGGTAGGGCGCTCGCTTGAATGCCAGGGAGTATGCTTCACGCACGTGCAACCTCCTAAGGCTCAAGACATCTGATTTCGATCCTACGACACATGGTCAAGTGTGCTTTGCCGGGGGTCTTATTTTCACTAAGGCGAAGGCCGATCAACATTACGTCCATCGGACAACTTCGACCGGACCGACATATTTCGCTTGGCATGATACAAGCAAACTGGGCCGTGATTAGGCTTCCTCGTCGGCAAAACATCAAGCGGATAACGCGTATGAGTCTGGAACGTCATTTTCGCTTAGGATAGGATTTCCCAAGTTCAAACATAGTGTAAGACCCCTTGAACATTGGGGGATTGGGTGGGGGGTTGTGCAGTCTAGTTGGGCCTAGCATGACCACACCTGTCTTGTAGCGTGACCACACCAACTTCAGGGTCGGCCACACCAGTTCGTTCCCTATCTGCTCGATTTGGGCCTCGTGGCGTGACAACGCCTGAGGCCGATGTAGCCATGTCGACCAGATAAAACGGGTAACTTTTTTTCCAACACTTCCCATTGCTCCATAGGCCTCCTTGTGATTCTTTGTAGTGACAAGTACAATTTTTTCTGATACAGTAAATCCTCCACCTGCATCTTCCAGAAAGTGAAGTTCGTCCCATTGAACTCCTCCATCTTGAACCTTGCTTATTCGGCCATTGCTCCCACTCGAATTGAACCCAGCTCTGATATCCGTTTGTTGGGAGAAACTACTCAGAAAGAATCTCCTTCTAGCTCTACCACGAATAGGATCACAAAATTCGAGAAAATCAGAACAAGAAATTTAAGTAAAAAAGCAAAATAAAGAAAAAATCTGAAAAGAACACCAAAATTTTACGCGGAAAAACCTTAAAACGAGAAAAAAACCCAAAAGCCACACTGCCACAAATTCACTATGAAAATCAGATAATTTTATAAAGAACTCACATAAGTTTCTTCTCCACGCTCACACGTAGAAACTTACAGGATATTCCACAATCTTCCTTCATCGATCTGACGTGAACAACACACGTCGAGATCCAAAAAATCTTCCTCTCGAACTCTTCTCTCACTCACCAGGAACTTGTTGAAAAACACCAGAGAATGTCTGAAAAAAGATACGCAGCTCGAAATTGGCTTAAAACCCGTTCTTTTCTATTTTCCCACCTATATGTCTATTATAAATATGTGTGTTTGCTGAATTAGGGTTAGATTGTTGTGAGTTTATTTCAAGTTCTGTTTAGACAACCGTCGACGTCCTGTTTTCTCATTAGAGTTTATTTCAAGTTCTGTTTGCTGAATTAGGGTTTATCCGAGGAATAGTGATGCTCTGACTGTATCTCGCTCCAAGGTGCGGTTATCCTCGACGTTCTAAGGTGCTCTAGCTATTATGTGTGTTTGCTGACATAATAGCTGCAGCCTCCCACGGACAGCTAGGTTGCCGTTTCTTGTGCGCCCATATCCTTTCCACCCTTTCGTAACCCATCAACTAGGTAGTCCGTCTTTTTCCTGTCAAACCCAGCCGCAATCTCCTGCAATCTTTCGAACCCGTATCTCCCTTCCTACCAGCCCCTTCCCGCAACCAACCTAGCTCTTCCAATATCGTCTCCCTCCCATAACCCACTACTCCTCACAGGATTCCATTGTGGATCCACCCCACCTCATGCATCCCCAATCTTGCTGCCTCCTACAGTCGCAAATTGCCTCCCCCATCCTCCCATAACTTCCCCACAAACCTACGGTCACCTCCCCACAGCCACCCTCCACTACAGCCACAACTTCCCAGCCATCCATAGCCTCTAATTCCCAGTCCTACTAACGCAACATCACAACCAATCCACACTACCTATTGTCCGCCGCCATAGGCCTAGGGTGTCTTTTATATTTGTTGTTATTTGCCAAGAGTTTTGTTTGTAACACTATTAAATTTCAGAAATGATAGTTATGTTTTTTTTTTAGGCTTGGGCTTTCAACTCCGATATCATCTCATTTCAAATTATCATCATTAAAATAAAGGGAAAAATTCATCCTTCATGTTCAAGTATTATCATCAAATATCCTCAATCAATACATGATAACACAACAAAGAACCAAACAAAGCCTAAGGGACCAATATAAACACAGTAACATAGAGCAATCAATGAATTTTGAACCCTAAAATCAAATAATGCTTACCGCATTCAGCGTACCCAAGGAAAAAAAAAAAAAAGCAAACAAACCAAACTAAATGGGAACAACTTCAATGAACAAAATAACTTACTCCCTAGTTAGATTTCGTTTTTTTTAATTTGTTTTTTTTTTAAAATCTACTTTTTCTCCTTAGGTGCGACAAAAGACCTAAATGCATTCATTGTATAATTTACTACAAATATACACAAAACACTGGTATTTCTATAATTTAAAAAAATTTGAAATATTGTCCACACATCATTGGACATCTAGAGTTCAACCTGCGTTACCTATTTGTAACTAATGTTAGTGTGCGAGAAGGGTGAGGCTCATCTTAAATAAAATTAGGTCATAAGTTTAACATCCGGTATGAATTCCAATCTATTAAATCTTCAATCAAACCCTCAAATTAGATTCATTAGTTTATATTATGATTTATATATGTTGCTAGAAAATCATCTTCCACCAAAGGATATTTACTCCATTATACAGTATCTTGGTTAATGTTCATAGTAACTAGAAATTCAAGCATAATAGTTGATAAAGAAAATTAATTTTATAACATTAGCTACTTTTGAGGCACAGTTTATGAGAAAACCTATAGAGGACCTTTATTTTTTTTAGTGGAAAGTTGGGGAAACCTTTCAAATTAAATAAAATAAAAGGATACAACAAAGATAATTACAAATTAAAATGTAAACAAAAGAGAGACTTATAACAGAGAAAGAAAGTGCAACTAATCTAAACAAATCTAAAGAATCATCAAGAGATTTTCATGCCCTTCTTTTGTGTTCCCGTGATTGATTTTGATCCAAGAGTCTGTTTGAGATGAAGTGATGAACCAAAATTATTGCGATCCTTCATGGCATTTAAAAAACATCTGAATTCTCTTTCATTAAATATATTTTAGTGAGGACTGAGCAAGAGAATATCTCCAAAATCTTTAGCATTATCTACAACATAAATCACTCTCCGAGAAAACAAAAAAAAGAAGCCAAGGGGAACATGAGCATTAGTAACCTCAAAAAAAAGCAAAAAAAAAAAAATAAAAAAGAAAAAGAAAAAGAGGGGACTGGGTGGCGAGGTACTTCCAAATGTTGAATGGAATTTTACAATTAAAAACAGACAGCAATCATCTTTCAAGAGAAAATTACACGAAACAAAATCAGCACAAATCCCGAAATTAATAAGAAAAGAATAATATTGGTAGGAAACACATGAAGAAGATAATCCATTCAAAGAAAGCAATCTTTGAAGGGGTAAAAACCATCCATACCCAATTATAAGAATAAGTGATAATATCATATGCAAGCCACTTTAGCTTGCTGGTTGATAGTTTAGGCTTCAACCAAGAGGTCTTGAGTTCAAGGCCTTGCATATGCAGTGTGTGCATGTGTTTGCAATTAAAATTGCTCAAAAGTCACAAAAAAATAAAATAAAAGGTGATGATATTATCATGCATTGAAAGAATAAGCAAAAGTTAACTAAAAGACGGCCATTGGAAAAGAGAAATCACTTTTGAGAGTCAATATTTATACTCAGCCCTAATATGTACAGCTCAATATAAAGTAGAAATATGATTAGCCAGATGAAAATGAATGATCACTTTCTAGTGGAGATACCAACGAGAGCAGAATAAAGATTCTACCAAACAATCAGATTTTCAACCCAACACGTAAAAGATTGCTATGAAGCTTAACAAAAGACCAAATTATAAAGACAACCAACCATCTTTCCAAAGTTTTGTTTTTGCATCATTATTAATATACCAAGAAACAAAACGCAAGAAAAATTGAGAAAAACTTTTAACATCCTTAATGAAATGAGAGTCATGAGAGACTTTACACATCCAAATGGCATTTGGAGAAGAATTAATCAAATTGGACCCCACTTGAATAGATGTCCAGATCCACATCCATTTTAAAAAAGGAAAGATATTTATTATAAAAAGATCATTGAAACCAAAAACACCAAATTTTTGGGCCAAAGGAAGTTCTTCCAGAGCAGCAAGAAGTATCATCTACCTTCAACATTACTCTTCTATAGGAAATTTCTTATATTGTCAATTTTATTGATGACCAATTTGGAATAAAAAAGATGTAACAATAGAAATCCCAATAGTAACCATAAAAAAGCTTCTCATAATAAACAATAAAAATAAAATAAGCTTTCATATGCTAAGTGATCATGAACTACAATAATGTAATTAAGAGAGCATTTTCCTTCAATTAATTCTCCTTAGAAATTACATATTAGATGATGAAAATGGGGTTTCAGACGATGCAAATAAAGAAGCGTGAGTTCATTATACGTACATTATCTTGAAGCTTTAGACCAGCCTGCTTGATAAGAACCTTCGAAGGTTAAAAAATGAAGTTAGAAAGATCATTTAACAGCCGCATGTAAAATTTAAAGTTATACAAAAGTAATTAGCATTAAGATACTCTCCACTTTTAAAAATTTAAGGGGAGAGAAGTCTCACATGCACATAAGAAAAAGTTTTTATACAAACAAACTCCAATGTTAAAACGGACTTGCAAAGAAATGGAGGTATAAATTTCCTCCAGTACACTAATATGCAAGCTCAAGAAAATATAAATGCATATATAAATATATGCAAAATATGGTATCATATATTAAGAAAAAGAAATTATCATGCATCTGGTGCTAATAATAATTTATTTCTTACGGTTTGGCATAAGCTAGACCAACATGATTAATCTTGCTTACAGAGAGGAAAAAGATAGCAAGATGATTAGGTACGACAAAATCAAATCATATGTTGAATTGGCGAATTGGCCATCTATTTATCATGCATTTTTTTAATGCATATGACTACTTAACATTATATATTTCGACTCAATTATCTTATACTGAACTGGATCACACAGTAGTACCCCTTTTTGCTACTTCAAACTTGTGTTGGGAACTCAAAGGCACCCAACTACTTATACATACATCTTAACAGATCAATGCAGCAATATTCCCATTTTTCTATGAGCAGTATTTGTTCCAAACTTGGCAACTTCAAACTCTAAAGTGCCTTAGGTTGTCCCATATCTATTAGTTGGAAAGCGTGCTTCTTGTCTAATATTGTATTAAACATTCATTACAAAAATTAATTGCATGTTGTCTAATATTGGAATTAAAACCATCCAGCAATCTCCAATCCAAAAATGATTCCTCGGTAACAAAAGAATTATGTTTGAGGTTATATGTTTCCCTTCCCTGTATATTTCATTTTTTCTCTATGTATATATAAGATCACATCACCGATTGCCATTAGATTCAAGTAAGAACAATACATCACTCTAAAATTTGCTCAGATGATATCAAAGCCTTAGATTCTTCTTATTCTTCACATGCCTCATTTAGGTTGTTTTCGGCCTTCATCATCATATTTTGTGCCGTCATCCTTTGATGCATCTCAACCTTCATCATCACAAGCTGCATTCCAATCACATGGCTTGTTAACCTTTGCTCATCAATCGCGACATGTTCATCTCCTAGCTCCAAACCAAGAAAATGAGATTATGCTGAGTGAAGATGTTGTTCTATGCCTAATGCAAGCAATTAGGAGTGTGCGATGTGTACGAGCTGAGTATCAGGTTTGTTAGACGAAATGAAATATAGAAGAAGAAAGAAGGTGGGTGGTGGGCGGCAAGAGATAAGTTAGAAGTGTGTGATGTGTATGTGCTGAGATTCAAGTTTGTTATATGAAATGAAATAAAGAAAAAGAGATATGGCCCGCATATGGATACATGCTATTCATGAGACATAAAAAGAGAGAGCATCTTAATACTTTTAATTATTTCATAAATATTTTTATATCATCATTATTCATTTATTTATTTTATATATCCTATTTTTGAAGATTTTATCATTACCCCTTATTTCAACCATGGATTATCCTGGAAGCCCAAAGAAAATGCTTTGCTGGGTGAAATGAGCGATAAATTTGAAATGTTCTCAGCCAATTTCTTGTGAAGTTGTGCATGTCTTCCGTCATCGCGTTGCATTTCATTGGGAGACCTGTGGATTGCATATGGGTCAATAGCCATCCACTTCAGTTTCGCATTCGTCATGGTTCATGAAACCATCAAAAAGTTATTAATGAACTAAGTATCAAGTTTAGATAAAATGAAATTATATAATCCAAAATGTGCCCATACATACTTAAAGAAGAATTTAGTTGCATCATTGTTAGTGATTGTTATTCTACAAGGGATCAGAATAATCACGTTTGAAAATATATCCACAACCACATAGAAGTAGTCAATGTTCTAGGCAAAGTCCGAACAAATCCAATAGAGATAGGAAGTACGAGCATGACATGTATAATCCTAACTTATGTCATCATGTTTGGAGGTGTAGTAGAGTATGCATCCCCTAATGTGCTTACTTGCATTCCGCTGCATATTTAGCCAGTAAAACATAGCACTATAGGTTTTGCAATGTCTTCTCCGGTCAAAAATGTCCAGCCGCCTTAGATGTGTGTACACATCGATTGTAATTCATCTACTAAGTCTGGCAAGCACAAATGCATTTCATAAAATAAAAGGTTATCTTTTTTAAGTAAACTCTAAAGGATTGCCCTCTCCAAATGGAAAAGTATCTCTATGAATAAGGGAAACTTAAGATATTATAGATAATCTTTATGCAAAAATTTTTAACTCGAGTGATATTCTTTAAACACGAAAGTATTAAGCTTAGGCAAAAAAAACATGTTTGTCATTTCATGGTTAACACCCTTCATTTACTTGATAAAGAAATTAAATTGTTCAAGTTACTTTCACATGTTGAACTACATATAGCTTAATCCGAGTTTACAATATTTATCTGGCATGTGATCATAATGTACTACAACCTCATTCTCTAGAAGGTAAACATGATAATGTTTTGATGTAGTGCCAACCGCTCCTTGTCATGAGTAGGATGCTCTTCCAAGATCGTGAAAAAATCTAAGCATGGAAAGAAATGGGTATCTAATCTTGCATATGGCTACTTATATACCTTCATGATGTGGCCAAGTAAAATGTGAACCTCACAAGCTTCGAGTGAAATGGGGGAAAAAAAAAAACAATAAAATTCACAAGTACACCAAAAAATATAATTGTAGTGATGTTCAGCTCAACGGATTTGAAATATTGAAATTCAACATTTGCTCAAATTTTAATAAAAACCCCCTGCATGTGAAAACTTTTGTTCAAAGTTTAAAAACCTTCCAATTTGAAGTGGTTTCTTTAAGGCCTCCTTATTAAACTCCTCAAACTAAGCAGTTCATAGGAGATAGTTGAATCTTAATCAACAATGGTTATTTAGAAAGCGAATAAAAGAGATAGAGAGGGATAGTAATTAAATGTAGCAGTTAGAGGGAGATATAGCAATACTGCAATAGTAAGAACAATGGAGAGAGAGAGAGAGAGAGATTCTTAAGAACTGTGCCCAGCACGAAGGCAGTGCCTTCTAGCACTATATATATATACACTCCTTTCAAAATTCTATATATTTTTCACTATTTCCACATAATTTTTAGCAACGTGAAGAGCTTCGACATAGATTGTAGACGTATTCCCACGGACGTCAATGTGAACACCCTCTCAAGACAAAACTAGTTCAACATGCCCAAATCACAACTAAACTCACTTTGTTGCTAAACATATACAAACATGACAAACAACAAGCATTGCACTTAACGTCAGCAACACAAACAAGCTCCAGGACAAATCAAAATGAAGTGATCAATCATTTTAAAGGTTCCACTACTTCTGGCGCACAAATTTTACAGTTGAAATAACTTTTCTTGCAAAAGATATATCAACTGGACCCAATAACTAAGAGTTCATTTGGCAACACTTCTACTTTTAGTATTTTAATTTTGTTTAACAAAATATTTGGTTGATGCTCTGTAGCTAATTTTTATTTTGAAAATAATCTTATTCTTAAAAACACTTAAAAAAGATAATTTTAGGTATTTCATTATTTTCAAACTACCATCTTCACCCTACCAAAGCCACTATTAGTTGTTGGCAACCACAACTTCGACGAAGTTGCCATCACCACTATGATAGATTGCTAACCAGCCTACCAACAACAATCATCGCCCTACTGGTCATAATCACTAACTCAATAGTTGTCATCTCTCTTATACGATATTCAATAAAAATAAAAATAATATATATTTAAGATATCAAATTACAAAGAAAATACAATAAAATAAAAAGTGATACCAAATGGTCCCGTAAAAAGCAAAATAGAAATTAGCCAAAAGAAGTTCTTCAAGCTAAAAAAAGACCTGAAAAGTGGTTCTATAGCAAGCTGACAAAGGTGAAATTATCATTACAAATTCTAAATTTTAAAGTGTTAAAGTTTAAATATTTTAGATTGGAATTTGAAAATAGTGATTATATTGGCATTCGAAAAAAACTAACAGCAAAAAATTAGTTCAACGGATGAAATGAATTTCATTTGGTAATAAAAACAGACGATCAAAGCCACATGTAAATTGGCTAACAAAGTGTGCATCCATGTTAATAAAGCAACGGGCCAGACCAAAAAAGTCGTGTGAAAATCATAGTCAAGAAAATTCCTAGGTGATTCTACTCCATCATGATCATTACTGGATCACATGTTACACAAATGCTTGGGGGCCATTTGGGATCACTATTACAGAATAGTGTATAATTACTATTGGATTATTCTACTGGATTATTCTACTGGAAATAGTGTCAAGAGAATTATTCTACTGGATCACATGTTGCACAAATGCTTGGGGGCCATTTGGGATCACTATTACTTTTTTTTTTTTAATGTTTTATTATTATTTATTTATTTATTTTACTTATTTTATTATTTGAAAAAAATAAGTTCGGCTATTTGATTAAGATATAATTGTTTTCAAAAACACAGAAAACACTTATGAGGTAGTTTGAGTGTTTTCAAAAACATATTAATTTATTTTAGAAATAAAAAATAAAAAACAGGTAAAAAAACACAAAATAAATATATTTTAAAAGCAAAAGAAAAAAACAAACACAAATAAAAAGCAAAATCGATCCCAAACAAGCCCTAATAAATTTGAGGCTAACATTCCAAAAGCTTCAAGTGTATGAGGTATAACGTTCTTCAGTAAAGGCATGCATGTTATGACAACAAAAAGATAAATATACAGATGATGAAGTAAATATAAAAAGAGATTCAAAAGAAATAGATAATTTATATCAAGATAATGAGTTGACTTACTGATATTATCATGTCAGCCCGACTCTCTTGTATGCCATTGATATGTCGCGCCACAGTTGAGCCAGAAACGCATAATGCCTACAAAATATTTAAAAAAGCATTTGTAGAAATAATAAATAAATAATGCAAAATATACTCATAGGCTCTGGTCGATTAATAACCAACCGATAACGCAAAATAAACTTGGAAACTACACCACAAAATTTGAAATTTTACATAGTGTATAATTCTCTCTTTCGTGACGACTTCGGTGGCAGCACTCTACTTTAGATTACCTTCTTGAAAAAGACAGAAAACTATTGGATAATTGTGTGGTAGTTTTAATGTATTTAAAATATTTTAGTTGTATTGAAACAAATAGAAAATAGTTGGGTATTGTATACATATATAGTAAAATATAATGAATGGATGTACATCCCAATTGATTTATATAGCCTTTAAAATAAAGATTTCTCCATTGACTATGATCTACAATATGATAATTATATGTGAATTGAGTCACGTCAATTTCCGTGATAATTATCCACTTATAAAATATGTGAATAAAACAAGAAAATATAATCCTAAAGGAATCATAAATGTGATTTCAACTATTTTGACACTTTACTCATTTCAAACATGAGATGAGAATAATCTCTCAAGCAACTAGGATCCTACTTAACGTAAGAAATTATCTTAATCAGTTTTATAAATGAGGTGTTGGAAGTTAGGAAAGTCCTGAGGTTTACATCACATTTATGACTCCTTTTAGGATTATATTATCTTGTTTAATGAGGTATTGCAAATTATGAGAGGTTTACATCACATTTATGAAACCAGAAAACCGTAGGGATGAAAGAAAACCATAAGCCGAAATCACTGAAATTTAAGCCGAAATCAGGATGAAGATCTGAAATGACTCCTCTTAAAAGTATATTAAGCTCCCTGGGAGGCACCAAATCAGTAGAAACACCCAAAAAACCACATTTAGCTAACCAATCCGCTGGCGCCCCTATATATAAAATTTCATATGACCTGAAGGTCATGGGAAACGATGAATTGCCAAATCTTATTAAAGCAAATAATTAAATTCCAAGGAGGCTCTTGTCTTCTGGTGATGAAATCCAGAAGAACAGAAGAATCTGATTATATATATATATATATATATATATAATGAAAAGAGCCCAAAAGATGCACCATACCCATACGATACAAGTACAGTAATTCTCCAATAAAAAGATACAGATAGACTCATAAAAATATAAAACAAATTTAAAACAAGCAGAGAACAAGTAGCTAGAAACAAGCCAGTTTATTCCTGACTCTTCCTCTAATTTTAAGAGCGGAACCAGATAACAAACTTTGAAGAGTCGTGCCATCGTCAGGAGACACTAAAGTATCATCCATTAAGTTTCCAAGTTGGAGTGTGACCCCAGCCTTCTTTCGCCGAGAAGTATAAACCTGTCATTCTTCATTTGAAGACTGACTCATGTGATCCTCGATCTGATTTTATGTTAGAACTGCAGTAGGACAAAAGATAGTCGTTAATAGGTTCCAGTGTATGTGTATGTGAAGTGTGAATTGTTACCTTTGCACCTGATGCTGAATAGGAGCTGCGGGCGGGACTATCCTGATTTTCAAATCGAACATTATCTGTTGTAGTATGGTCAAGAGAAGAGATTTCAGGGGCAGACACCAACTCCTGTCTTGTGGTGATTCCCTCATCAGGTTGGCGATCATCAGGTTTGCTAGAAGCGCGTTCAGACACATTTGGTGCACTAATAGTGTGTTCCTACTTTTGACTATTGGTTCTCAACTGTGGGTGCAATATGAAACATTTCTCTTGCGGTGTCCAAACATCTTGCAGTGTTTGCAATAGTATGGTTTTTGTTCCATAATGATTTTTTCCCAATAACCCCAATAACCATTGTGAGCAGATTGTGAGCAGATCCAAGTCAGACTTCTTCTACATCTGGTAGTGTAATATGTCGTTCAATCAAAATCCTTGCAATAGAGGGCTTTAAGAAATGAACTGTAGGTAAGTCTACCTGCAAAGATTTTCCAAGGATAGTCCCAATTGCATATAAGATAGGTAAGTCGAAGAAATGGAGCTTGAGTTCAGGTATAGATATGTGCAATTGGGGGTTCTTGATAGAGATCAAAATTAGGGGTCCATTTGAATAATTTGATATGTTTGCCCTCAATTGTGATGAATTTTTTTGAGAAAATCCTTGTATAATAATCTTCTGTGCTCAGCTGTATCATAACATGTCTTTCGTCGAAATGACCCACCTGTCAATCCCCAACCAATTTGAAATCTTCAAAAACCTTTCTGATAATCTTCATCTTAGGGCAACCTAATTGGAACTTTCCAACTAGTGTAAATTTGTATTTTCCTGCACAAGTTGAAATTTCAGCATCAGAGAAGTATAATGTTGATTTGTCAATCTTTTTCTCTATTTTTTTTATGAGATTGCAATTTTCATGTCCTGCCAAAATCATGGTAAATCTGTGGGAATACCGCACTATCGGCGAGGTGAAAAGAGGAGTTACGTTTGTGAACCACTATAGCATAGGTTTGGAAAGGTTATCACCGGCGAGGGTGGCAGCGTAGGAAAACCCTGAGGCCATCACCGCAGCCAGTGCCAACCAGCAGCACAGTGAGAAGCTGCACAAATAGCGGTGTCGAGCGGCTTTGTCGCAGACGCCAGAGGCAGAGCCGATCAGACGACGGGTGTCGAGCGGCTCTGTCGCAGACGAGACGTGGGCAAAAGCAGGACCCCGACCTGTTGGTTGGCATCTATGGTATAAGACCCCTCAGGTCGGGGATTCAAATCCCTTCTGACACAGTTGGCCTTAAGAAGGTGGTACTCAAATCATTAGACACACTAGAGGTGGCTGGAGGATTGTATAATAGCATACGATCATTCAATTTCAATATAAATATATACATATATTAAAAAAGCTCAAGGGCTAATATATTATGAATGGGCCAAAAAAAAGGCACCGAATCCACACGGTACAACACACACAAAATCCCAAAACAAAAAAGGAAAGGTACACATATGATCAAGAGAAAAAAACCAAAACTATCAAAGCGGAAAAAAACTAGGGACGACCCAATTTAGTCTTGTCAGTGTCTCTAATTCTCAGAATGGAACCAGCTAACAAATTAGTGAGATATGTACCATTACCCGAAGTAACCAAAATATCATCCATTCAATTCCTAAGCTCAATTAGGCCTCTATTATTTTTCTTCCTCCTGAATGTGTAAACCTGTCATTCATCATCCGAGGATTGACTCATCTGATCAGTGGATTGGTCTAAAGGTGGTCGGACAGGTGTAGGTTGTTGCACCGCATTTGCCTGAATAACATTTACATCTTGTTAGACCTGATGAGGCGGTAGAGAAACAATAGAAATATTTGCTATGAGATATACACCAATTGATGTGGTATTTTTATAAAAATAAAACAGAAGAACGATCGACGAAGCGAAAAATACAACGAGAAAATCCACATCAGAAAAGAATAACACAACAGCAGAACACACAGATTTACGTGGTTCGACAAATTGCCTATGTCCACGGAGTTGCTTAGAATTTTACTATTAGAGGAATTTACACCAGTCGATCGTCTCGACTTACAAGAGAAATCTCTCACTTCGTTGTTCTCTCTTCTTCTCTCTCTACACCGAGATACACCGAGAAAATAAATTTACAAGAGAAATAAACCCAATTTCTCTTCTACCACAAACCACCAAGAAGAAGCCAAGGGAAAACAATCTTCTTCTTCTTCTTTCTTCTTCCTTCTTCCTTCTGCTGCAAGGAACTACACCTTGCACTTCTCTTTCTCTGTCTTGAGGAAGCGCGAAAAAGAACACCAAAATCGTGAATTGAATCTAAGAAGAGCCACCTCGCAATACCTTTCTTCCTCTTTCGAACCAATGGATAAAAGGCGAGGAAGATGTTCTGTTCGTGACTTATAACAAGCGAAAAAGTGTTTCACTTTACGAAAACAAGGAAGGCGGGAGTGGTTTCGCGAACAGCAGGGAGGCGGGAGCAGTTCGTGACATTGCACGATCAGGAGAGGGAGATGTAGCGACGTTTCGCGACAGAGCGTAAGCGGGAAGGAGGTATCGGGCGGACCGGGCTCCATCTCAACAAATCTCCCACTTGGAGACCGGTACACAGGCTATAACGTTTTCTTCTTCAAACTAATATCCTCCACTAGCGACATCGCCCTTTTATTCAAACATGAATCCTCCAGATCTGCAACTCAAAACCTCTGTCTTCGTTCCAAAAGACCAACAGAAGCTGTGCACAACTTCAATTTCTCAAGAGTAACACCATCAGTCAACATATCAGCAGGGTCCAAATAGCTTTGCACCTCCAAACTATTTCCTAGATTACTCTTGTCTCTACTTACAACTCCTACTGCATGAGTAATATCCTGTTTCTGCTGAAAGCATTTTTCAACAAGTCTAACCTTGTACCTCTTACTGTCATCAAGTTCAATCTTCACCTGGTACATCCACTTGTTGTATAATATCTTCTTCTCTGGTGGAAGTTCTGTCAGCTCCCACTTGCTCGAACTTTCATCTTGCAAGATTTCTTCATAACTCTGTGGTTCTCCACCATCTGTCTGTGGAACAATAGGAATGGGTGCCCCAGATCCACTCCTCTTCATTTTCATCATTAACAGAACTATGAACTGTCGGCAATAATGTATTATGTACTTCTTCAGATACCACATTTGCGCTATCATTCTGCATATTCTTAGGATTTTTGCAGTTCCTCTTTATGTGACCAGCGTTGCCACAATTTCAGCAGGTTGTCTGCTGACCAGATTTTGACTTTGATGTCACTTTATTTGAGTTCCTAACCTATCATCTCCTTCTGAAATCAACATTCAGTACTGAACTCGTACATGAGATCTCGCCAAAATCTTTTCCGTGCACCTCAGCCAAAATCAAATCACTAATATCATCACATTTCAATTTAGATTTACCTATAAAACTGCTAACTGTCATCCTCACGTCTTCTCAACTATTTGGCAAAGATTGTCAACAATATCAGCGCATGCATCTCATCATCAAAA